AAACACCGTCTACCGAGACGAGTGTTGTTCTCCGTGCCTCCTTCAGGATGGCGCAAACCGCGAGGTGGATAGCACATGACTTGGCAAAAAGGTGTGAAAGAGATCACGACGAGTTTGGGTGTTGTTGGTGTTGTGAGACTTCCAGGATGGGGACCCCGTGACCCCGTCTGTGTTTGGCTGGAGACGTTGCAAGAAATGGCGGCTAACCGATGTCAGTGGCGTTCGTGCTGTCAGTTCCTTTCCAGATTGTCTGATTGAGCGGTCGGAGGTGTAGGCATCTCAGAATGTTTAACATAGGCCAGCACTAGGCCCCCTCGCTCGCTCACTCTTTTTCTGTTCTTTTCACCCTAGGGCTTTCAACATTACATATATGTAACTAGACGAACCGTATGGTTGTACGGCAGTGAAACATCAGTTGCCAACACTATTTTGCTGTCTTTGATGACGATGATCTACTCTGTCATGGCTATATCTGTATCAGTATGTCTGTATCCTTTTAAAAATATTTCCCCATCTTTCAGGAAACTAGGTCATGTTCTCCGGGTTGGGTGACGCTGATGCTCAGAAAGCAAATTCACCAGCTGTCTCGCACTATCTGAGCGGCCTCCTAGATAAAACAGAATACCAGTCCAAGCACTTAAGCCATCGGTAAGAATCACAAAATCAGTTTTGGAGACTTTATATGGCGTGCAATGCGGTCAGCGTTGAAACTGGTCTTGGACCATACGTGAACTACGGTCGTTGGTGCATACACGCCACACTCTATCACATTCCTCATTTTCAAAGCACAAGGTCCACTGGCAGAGTGACTGTGATTCGACTCTGTTGTTATGTGTTATACCAAAACCTGCACGTCATGATACCATTGCCTCGGTATTTCGCGACAAACATAAACCATAGCGTTCTTTGGAGATATGGATGGTGTTCAACTGAAGCGCTGAACTGAGGTCTTGAATGCATAAAAGTCGCGATGGAATTCTTAGTTGAATTGCTGTTAGCGGTAGAGAATACTGCAGGTTCTCACTAAGGCTTGCTGATTGAGACTGTCAGTTCGTTTCTGGGGCGAGAGCTACGCTTCCACGAGTTGAAGCGGTCGTGTAATTGAGATACACAAGCATTAAGGAGTACACCATCGCCAATAAGTCGATATTGTTTGGCTCTAATTGCAAGAGTGAGCTGAAACAGAGAGCCAATAATGATTGGTAAGCATACTTCCCATGTTCGTTTCTCGGGAACACGACCGGATCAGTCAAGTTGGAGAGGGGATTTCCTAGGGATCCAACCCAGAGTGTTTTGTTGATAAACCACAGAGAAACATTGTCAGTAATCCATTGAGAACCGGTGACCATTATTCTAGTTCATAAACCATTCAGATGGAAGGAAACCACTGAAATCTACCATTACGTGTGGGCGCCAAAAACCGTTCGATTCAAGCACTCGGCCGGATTGGAGTCGTAGACCGTCCAAACCAAAGCCACGTCCCATAGGTGAATGGCATTTCATACGTTTCCCCTGTCATCTTATGGGAGGCCTAGCAACGGTCTGGTGAAACAGCGACCAATCGTGATGTATTCAACTCGACAAACCGTCCCTATGGCTTCTCCTAGATAAGTTACTGTCAATTTTGAGCGCAACAACCAAGCGTGCAGGCAAATCAACCCATAAAGAATGAAAGAAAGGCTTTGGTAATCTGTAAAGTTCCCAGCACCACAACTCCACTTTGGAAAGTTGGCTCGATGCATGTAACTACCACAGCATTTGCAGTAAGTCTATAAACCCAACGTTTTCACTCGCGTATAAAAAACCTCACTATCAAAGTTCACCCAAACGACGCTTCTGTCTAATTCCGATGCACATCGAATTCCCGCAAACAGGACGTTCAAGCACTGTCATCTGGCCTAGGGTACATTATCCGTAAAAGAAATCTGAATCAATTAGAACCAATGGAGGTTTAAAACAGGCGTGAACAACCTATCGATTGTGAAGTCGCTTACCAAACCTAATTAGTATTAGTAGTAGTAGTAGTAGTATTACCACCTATTTATCATATAAGCTCGAGGTCTGCGTTTATGCACAACCAAAAGATTGAATAGACAGGAGACAGATGGAATAGCACAGCAAACTGAAGACCTGAGACACAAAACATAGGACGGTATACTTGAAAACACAGTGGCCAGAATTAGAAAACAGCGGGCTAAAACCACTCGGAATGCTGAGAAACATATATGAGTGACTTACCTTACAATAGTACAACTTATTTTTCAAGGATGGATCGTATCGGCACCCCGCTGGATTCGCTTTCCGTTCGGATCCGTCAGCAGAAGTGTTCATACTAGCTTGATGCGGTTGTTTCGTGTGTCCAACTCCGAGGCAACAGCGGATTGAACACACGTCACACTGGACTGGACAAGTAAAATACTCCTCCACAAATGTGTACTGCCCGTTGGGTCGGATGCTTCCAGCAAACTGGGCATTCAGGGATTGAAGGCTGTAGAATATATGTTCCAATTTACGTGGAGCACGGATAGAATTATCTTTTAGCAGCCGAGCGATGGACTGTTTGAGGCGCTACACCAAAATAAACGAGAGGTATTCAGCTGAACCGGTAATCCTTAAAAATGCACTGACGCTAGAATGTAAACAGTCAAAACCCATTGACCTGGAATCTCAACTACATGAAAAGGAACGAACTCAGAAACTTTAACTGACATTTCGGACATGAAATAAGAAAGTGTGTGACCTCAATCCTCAAACAGTATAGAAATCGAACGTCTCACACCCCAAAAGCTTGCTTCGGGTCACTTTTGACCTCTGAAGTCAAACTATCCACCTAATTGAGTACTACAGAAAAGTTGGGTAGATTTCAAAATGGAAACTGGAAAATCGAGCTTTCTTCACCGAAGTCGGAGTAAACAAATCTATCGTATCGATATTTTCTAAACAGTTGCGAAAAATTCAGAAACAACTCCACAAGACAACTGGAACCATACTATAAGTTGATTCGAATGAATAAACAGTGATGCATCAGTGCTGGTGTACTACTGTCTCATCAACCGCTGTCCAACTTGAATGACCTTGAAGCAACCTAGCAGATCACTACTACCGTTCCACGAGTTCTTATCCCTGCTATTAACAGCAAGACCTCGAACAGTTCCATTCTTCTCTGTGTTCCATCCACTACAAGACCTTCAAGGCAGACTTGTGAAATCAGTTTGATAGTACACGGAAAACCTCGAACACTTCCCAGTAGGTTAGGATATATTCATTCTTCTCTGTGTTCCATCCACTGCAAGGCCTTCAAGGCAGACTTTCTACGGTTCTGTTACGAAACTTCTTGTGAAATCAGTTTGATAGTACACGGAAAACATAGAACGCCAGTTTCATTCGCATGGTGAGTAACTCACCACGGAGAAGTCAGACGGAGCATTTGGGAAACATGGAAAGAGCCGGGGTAAACATTGGGATTGAGTGTAAAAGGCGCGAAAGTTCACCAGAATATCAACAACGCATTAAGATATTCTCAACAGTTACCGCACTTCCCAAAATTTTCCCGGAGAAATCGCACTTAGCTTGCCACAATGAGTTTCTTACTACTCCACAGGCCACCTCTACATTTCCAGGAAGTTCACGATTTTAGTCTCCAAAGAGTGACACTTACTACCTCCCACAGAAAAGTTATGCATCCACGGGCATAGAAAACTGGTACGGTTCAGGGGGCATACGGCAATTGTGAACGACCTTTTAGGACGGGCGCGAGTTTGGTTAACCTAATTGAAGATCGGTTTCAGATCTAAAACCGGAAATTTATTTTCACAAATTTGGAACCTATCCTCTCGTGGCAATGGCCAAAATCAGGTTAGATTTTGACTAACTTATCGATGAATACATTAGCTATCAAGTGATCCTCGCTTGCCACAGAACAGCAACACGCCGTGTACTGATTCCAATGAATGACACATTACGGCAGAATTCAGGCGTACATTTGTCTACCTTTCTATGGTTGCAAATTCACCAACACTAGTAGCAAAATGCTGTTCCTGAGGAGGCCAGCAAGGTGTGCTCTATTGGATATGGTGTTGGAATCGCGCCGCAAGAAATTTTAAAATCGGACAAAAGTCAACAGTAGTGTGGTTACAACTTTTCGGTTGAAAATGAAACGTCCTCGTTTCCAGTCGATGTTCATTTTAGATCAGAATATCGATCGTACTCAGAAAAAGCAGGAGTGAAGATTGCTTTGGAAGATATGCAGCAAAACACAACTACAATGAAACAAGAAGTTTACCTCAAAGAGTAAGTTTGCGTTCGAGAAAACAAACAAACGAACAAAACTTTTCATAAAGGCGAAATAAATCCAAGTAGAATGTGTTACCGCTTTCATATAATGGAGGGGACAAAGTTTATCACAGGCCGTTGAAAAAACTAGAAAAGTAGTTCCGATCAGAGAACACGGATCGATTCTACGTCGATCTGTCTTGTCAAAAATGAAGCGAACAACCGATGCCTCCTTATCTGCTAGTACTTGTCAGGACAAGCGATTTGATGCTGACCTGGAGGTGCACCGGAAACGTATGCTTGAAAACTAATCGCCAAACTCGACGAACATATCAACAGCCACCTACCTGGTAAACTACCAACTGATCACCACCTACTCTGGAAATCCATTCAGAGATTTAGACGCCATTCAGAGAAAATAGATATCCGCGTACCGTGTTGCACGATCCACTAACATCTATGGACACTAGCCTCACCAAATATCGACGTCATATCTGTGTTAGTGACAAATGAATTCATTCAGAAACCCCAATACTTTCGAAGTTTGCTGCCCGTGCCCTTCAACTAGGCAACACCAGACAAGGTCAGAGTGATTTTCAACCGTGGCTTCCAAGTCAAGATATAACAGGCTGATTGGTTTGGTAACTAACGGCCCAATAGAAACGTCGGACTAGAACTGCACCCTGACCATTAAACTTGTGCAATGGTGGGTTGCATGGATGAGATTTCAGCGCGGTCGACCGACACGCACAAGTTAGGATCACTATTTTGTTACTAATAACTGCAAAGTGCATGTAGATTCGTGAAACAGGTACGTCAAATTTGTCAGATAACAGGTTATTCGGATCGGTGGACTCCTGGATGATCCACACTTGCTTGTTTGCCCGGTCCTGTTGGATCGTTAGCCCGAACCTAGAAAGTAGCGTGAGCTGATGGCGAAGATGAGCGCGTTGATACATAAGTGTGCTCGTCTTCCCATCAGCGATATAACAATGGTTATGGAAAGGCTATGGTTGTGAATCAACGATTAACATCTGATTTATAGACGTCGATGGAATCAGACTATTATTCTATAACTTTCCACGACCTGCTACACTGAATTCGGATCTGGCACACTTATCCCCGAAAGTAGGTTACCTCTCCAGAGCAAGCTCAGATACCTTTTCCCCGAAAACGTCTCTCATCGACGAATCACTATAAATTCAAAAGGATATTCCCTTGTGTGGTTAAAAGGAAGCAATGAAGAGATCACCTGTAAGCGCCGTTTTCTACCGCTTTAGAGGATGTCCATTCTTGAAAAAAGGGCTGGATCATTAAGAAGCAGAACTCCGAGTTCGATCGACACTCGTTGGGCAAGACACATTGGAGTGAATAACGGATCCATCATCCACCGGACAGCTTAGCATTCGCCCTTTTTCCAGATCTGTTTGAACCCCAGGACAACGAGTGGGTTGAGCTATTTCCCTTGTGGTCCACAAAGTTACCAAACCACCCAAATTATTCTGAAAAGTTCTCTAGTTAATTAGGTTTAAGATTACCTTTAAGTGGACGAGTGCTCTCAGAGGTGGCCTTGATTCGGCATAATCAGATGCCACCAACGATTGACCAGAAATTCATTCCATCCATTGAGAATCCCACTCAACTTCGGGTGTGTTATTTCTCGACCGCAATATTCAACATAGGAATTCATGACTTCGAGAAAATAATGGGCGCGTGATCTCTAACGCCTTGAGTGTCTTAAATCCGGGTCGTTTGGTCGCAACACTTTGTTTAGTCACTTTAAAGTGACGGTTCATGTGTTTGTGCTAAATGGAACTGAGAATAACTCCACCAGAATTTAAACTGCGTTTCATATATTGATATCGGATATAGAAAAGTAAATAGGGGCGCACTTTTCACATGAGAATTAAAGAGCAATGGAGGAACCGCAGTTTGACATTTCATTCCATACTGTCACCAACCGTGGGAAAACGGCGAAGGCTGCGTTTTTCATGAGAAGTGGTGCCCCTTTTACTGAGTTTATCACCGATCATTAAAAGAGGCTGTTTGCTTTACAGTCACACAAAACAAAGTACGCATCCTTATTGTATCAGCTGAACACATGGCAAACATATTGATCACGATCAACAGCTATCATCACGTGATTGATCTGCTATTGAACTTCACTCTGCTGTGCTGCACCAGATTTTGCGCACTAACGATCGAACCCTAGGACAACAATCTATATCAGTTGAAAAATCCAGCACAGTTCCAAATCACGTAGATCACAGAAGGAATTATTTAATATCGGTCTCGTTGGGTATATAAAAAATTGCCAAAAGCAACGTCTACGTTCTGGTTCAGAGCTGGCTGCATAAACAGGTACCAAAGGATGTTTACCTGGTGCGCAGTTGAAGACAGACTGGATCTTAGCATTTGTATGTAATGTGCGGGGGATTGATAAGAATAAAACAATTTCAAGGAGGGGAACGAATCTCGAGACTATGGAAATCAGCCCCTTTCAGTGGGTAAGGTCTATCCGTAGACTTATCGAAGAAAACGCCAGTAGTTCTCCCTTTGTTCGCCTAAATCTCCGCAGAAAAGTTCCCCCTTGTTGTGGTTTATTAGCCTATGTGCACTTCCACTGAACAGCGTAAACACGTCCGACAATGTCAGATTATCGAACGAATCACTTTCAGTACCATTTACCCCTACCCCTTCCCCAATCCGCTAAGCCAACTTACTCCACCATTGCTCTCCGTTCAAAGTTTGCCGCTAGTGCGTAGTAGTAGCAGGACAAGAGCCCCTGTCTTAATTTGTTCGGTGGTCGGACGTATCAGGGGAACACTTTTTGGTGCCCAGCTGCCATACTACCCGGGAGAAGCACGACGGCTGAGATACCACCAGGTTGCCCAGGAGCAGTAGAGATGTCGGAGTAGGGTTAGTACCACGGACCATCCGGTCTGTGTCTGGAGCTCTCATTTAGAGGATCCAAGGAAGGCGACAGCTCGGTAGAATGTGCACGCGTTAGTCGAGAATTCAAGTTCACAAGACAAATTAAGAGCAAAATAACTATTTTAACTTCGAATTGCTGCTGGCTGAAAGGTATTAGGACTATGTATTTCATCTTCCTTCTCCTGCTCAGCATCATCATCAGCTGTAAAAACCGCGTACTTGCCCTACAGTGGTTACAACCGCCACAGTTTCGTTTGTCGATTATTTGGAGGTGGGGCAGATAACAACGCACTTGGTGCAGTAGCCAATATGATAGACGCGTAAATACAGTAGTGACAGTATATGTTTCATTGGGGAGATCG